AAAGGATTGGAAATATTCTTAGGAAAACTTTTCTATGAATCTCACACTTTGTGCCCTTACTGTACATTGTTCTCATCATCTGGAAACCATTAAACGCAATATTTCCTCTTATCAGCCCCAATTTTGCCTTTGGTCACCGTTCAATACCCTGCCTCTATCAGATCTATTCATCGCGCCAGAAGAGGGCGTTATTGCTTACTTTGAGAAACGCTGAGCTAAAATAAAAGTCAATGTGTTAGAAATATTCAAGTTGTGACCTTCAATAAAAAATATATAAAATGTCAACATTTTATATATATTCCGTCGAATTTTTATATATAGAATTTGTCTGCCATCGCCCCTCTATATTTCCTTAACGCCCCCAATTCTCTTTGAGCCTTCTACTGCCCCCCTGAAAGCCTCCAGCAACCACAAGGGGGCGTTATCACCCACTTTGAGAAACGCTGCTTTAAACAATCGCTGCAAACGAAGCAAAACTACAAAAAGCATTCGCATTAAACAATCGCACGAGTCAACAATAGATTCTCAACAACGAGAAAATTGTATTGTTGCATAGTGACTCGATTTAATGTTAAACATTTGCATTTTGCGGAGAATCTTGTCTGTCTTTCTAAAGAGAGTGAATTTGAGAGGATTATTGCACGAGTTTGTCTCACGGGGCGGACAGTTAAGAGAAATCAAATCTGACCGTGAAATTTTAATTTTGTAAATAAAAAGTTCAGTTTTTTCTATAGGGAAAAATTCGCTGAAATTTGCATATAATGGAGTTTGGAGCCGTCACGTCATACAGCAATGACGTCATGTTTCGTATCACGTAATTCATCTCTTTAATACGATCCGATTTTCGTAATAAACCAATCATGGGATAAGGCATTGAATGGAAAAAGTTTATTTGAAATTTAATATCTATTAAAAGTTACTTGTCGTGTGCACTTTTATAAAACTCTTCGCCCGTGGATACTAAGAGGTCATGTTTTATCGTTGTTGTTTGTTAAATTATGGCAACGCAACATTTGGGCGATCTGCCTAGGGAAATGCCTTCCGGGAGTTCTTTTAAGGGTAACTGGTTTCTATTTATGCGTTACAGACGTGGAGAAAACCCGGAAAACTTCTGTCCAGGCGCAAATCCACGACCGAACTCCCAGTATTCGGCGAACGGAACCGCTTGGCCACTTGTGGGCCGGGCATGTTTTAGTAAGCCCATTATGGATTCGGGCAGGACCACAATGGGGCGGAAGAATGGTGAAGCAGTGGCGTGCCGTCATTGGAAGCGGTGGATGCGCCGCTTCCCTTGTATTTTCTAAAAAATTAATACATATTAATTTTAATTATATGAAAATAATCGCACAATATTTTATTATAACCGCATTATGCATCTTACTAAAAATTTCTATACTACACGTGAAAAAAAGATAAGATCGCTATTGTATATTCGAATATTAATGGCGGAGTGGAAGAGCTGTATCGTCAGCATCCAAAAAGCTAGATTCGCGTCGCGCTTTACGGAGCACCAACCTCATTCGGTTTAGCCGGTGGAAGCCTAAAACCTCGGGTGGATGCTACACGTAAAGTGCATCCAATTCTATCCAGGACCGATTCTGGGCTGTTAGCCGCCTGCCCGCCCTCGCCCGATTACGTGAATCACGAGTAGATTTATAACTTAAAATAAAATGTACCACCCGTTTAAATTTGGGAAACATAGCTTTCGATCGGTACCGCAGCAGCACCGAGTCAAATCATTATTTGTGAGACGAAGTAATAAAAGAAAAGTTCACGGTCAAACGAGGAGACCGAGATGTTATCATCGCCTGCGCCAAACAAAAACTCTTGAAGCTGTCGTAAAGTATTGTGTCCGTCAGGGATCGAACCTCAGACCTTCCGCGTGTAAAGCGGACGTGATAACCGCTACACTACAGACACTTGCCACAGAACAACGGAACGGCATTTCTTCTTCTACAACTGATTCTGGGTCGTATTGATTTTACGCGTTAGGATCTACCGATGTTATCGGATATCCTCAGCCGAGGGAAACGTCGAAAGAATGTCATAAACATTCAAAAAAATGGAGACAGCAAGAAAGGTGTTCGCCACCGTCGCACGCCAGAAAACGAATGCGAGTCGTTTTTCTGTGAAAACGGCGAAGCAGTTTGATGATTAAAAAACACGTAACCAAAGGATAAGATGAGCAAATGAGTATGCGAGTTAAATTTGCGAGGAATCTCTATTGCCGAAGAAATGCATTGGATGTGTGGACAGGTTGTTACGAGATTAACGAGTTTCCGTCCGTCGTGATAGAAATGAGGATTTTGTAAGAAAAGCGCCGGATTAACTACTGGACTGAAAGTTAGCACAAAGATTTAAGCGGACTTAGAAAAGTTCCGTAGTGTAGGTCGTCGTGTGTTTGTGGTGTAGTGGTTATCACGCCCGCTTTACACGCGGGAGGTCCCAGGTTCGTATCCTGGCAAGTATAGTTTAGATTTTCTCTCGTTTTATTTAATCGATATGCGCCTCCCCATTTAGGGTACGACTATGCGATATATTTTAAAATATGAAAAATTTAAATCAATTGTTTGCTTTGATTAATTGCTAATTAAATTTAAAGGGAGTGTAATTGTATTTGTTTATTGAGTGCATTGATGTATACTAAATAACTAGTAATTTATGTATAATATTAAAAAGTATATTTCATTATAATAAATGCTTGAATTAAAATTTTAATTGTTTTTTGAAGAAAGTCAGTTTTGTAGATTTATATTCCTTAAATTATGCCAAAATTTATATTAGTAATTTTATGCACATTCCTAAATTAACTAGTGTTTGAAATCTATTACGAAACGCGTTTCTATTGAATCAACTTATGTGAGGAGCCGGAGGAAGGAAATTTCCGAACGGAATAAACTATTATATGAGGATTTCCGGAGAATGCAGATCGGAATTTCCGAAGCTTCTCTCACGAAGGTCTATAACTTTCAGAGCATACATCGACAAAGGACGAAGATGGAATGCGCCCAAACAGCTCTTTAAATAGCACTTCAAACAGACATTTTCAAGTAGTATAACATACATTGGACTAAACCTCGTGACGCATCTACAGAACAATAAAATCACATAACGAGTTTAAGGGAAAAGGTATAAAGTGATATTAAAGTCTCAACAATCTAATTCAAGAACAGAGTTGACGGCAATATTGTAATTCAGTAACAGACAACAAAGCAATAAACCGAAGCCACTAGAAGAAACTTAATTGTTTCGACAGAAAAAAATGTTGAAAAAGTAACTAATAAAATAAAAATAATGAAAGTTACTAAGTTTTACTAGTAAATGTGCAACAGTTGCTAAAAAAAATAGTATAAATAGAAATAGTATGACGGCACGCCACAGGTGAGAAATATTTTATATAAGATTATTACATACAGTATAACTTTACACAGTATATTTGACAATAAAATTATAATTTAGAACATAAAAAAATTTAACTTTGCATATTCTTTGCAGAAAATTAAATGGACATCAAATAGGTCTTTTTGCAATATATCTTAATACATAAATATAACAAGTAACATAAAAAAAAAAAAAGAAGATTACGGCGTGCGTCGATCAAACAAAAAGATCGAAGCTGTGCTTGTCAGGATTCGAACCTGGGACCTTCCGCGTATAAAGCGGATGGGATCACCACAACACCAGAAACACTTTATTTATTTATTTATTTATTATTTTTTTATTTTTATTTATTATTTTTTAATATAAAATATATCTGTATTTACAGTAAAGTATCATATACAGTGTTTCAATCGATATCAACAAGCTTGATGTATAATTCGTCAGGTACAGTACGTAGATATCAACAAGCTTGTTGTACAATTCGTCAGGTTTTGATGACAATATTTCTTCATCAGATAAGTGTTCTTTTAATACTTTGTAGCACCGTATTACTTCCTGTAGGATTGCTGGCGGCTTCGACCGGTCTGTAATTTTCGCTGACGACACTACTATGTTAGGGATGTTGCTCTGTGGATTGGCTTTTGCTAAACATGCCCATGCAGGATGACTGTGGATATTTTTTATTATGTTTATACGGTATACAAATGCTTTTAAAGATATATCCTTAAGTCCAATCCCTCTGTTCTCAACACTGTTGTATAGCGTGTTTCTTCTTATTGGTTCATATTTTGATGACCTAATATATGTTGCTGTTATTCTGTTACCTCGTTGAGTGACTTTTTTTGGGAGTGGTTGCGTATAGAGCAAATACCACATTGGGCTTAGCAGCATGAGATTCGCAATTTTTGCTTTACCCAGTATTGATAGGTTTTGGTTGCTCCACTTGTAGGATGCTTTTCGAACTTTTTCGATTTTCGTGTCCCACTGATATTTTATGTTTTTTCCAACTTGTACTCCGAGGATTTTGAGGTTTTCTTTAGCCCAACTGAAATTTCCATAATTACTGTGGAGGTTATTCCAAGCACCAATCCAAAGTCCCTTAGATTTATTTTGGTTAATCTTTGTACCGGATGCCTCCGAAAATTCTTGGAGGATTTCGGTGATATGATCAATACTTTCGAGGGTGGAAAGAATCAGTGTGATATCATCGGCATATGATAGATATCTAATTTCAAATTGCCGTGTGGTTGGTAGCCTGTGCCCCCTCAAAACTTGATGCGTGTCAATAAAACGGAGGAGCGGCTCGATGCTAATAGCAAATAGAAGCATTTAAAGGGGAAAGCCCTGCCTCACAGAGCATTTCAGACTGCAGGCTTTCTTAACGTACAACACAACAAACACACGACCGTCTCGACCACCGTACTTACATAATAGCGCTTAAATATTTAAGTCGCACTTGCGCAAACTTCAAATCCAATACTTATTACACCGTCACTGGACACAAGATCAGCAATAGAATATCAGTGTCCAATGACGGTGTATTAGGTCTAAAAATAAAGAGGCCAACATAGTGTTCACAAATATATACTAAGTCAAGTCCAGTAGTTAATCCGGCGCTTTTCTTAAAAAAAATCCATACAAGTAACTTTTAATAGATATTAAATTTCAAATAAACTTTTTCCATTCAATGCCTTATCCCGTGATTGGTTTATTACGAAAATCGGATCGTATTAGAGATAAATTACGTGATACGAAACATAACGTCATTGCTGTATGACGTGACGGCTCCAAACTAAATTATATGCAAATTTCAGCGAATTTTTCCCTATAGAAAAACAGAACTTTTTATTTACATAATTAAAATTTCATGGTCAGATTTGATTTCTTTTAACTGTCCGCCCCGTGAGACAAACTCGTGCAATGATCCTCTCAAAATCACTCTCTTTAGAAAGACAGACACGGAAATGACGAGATTCTCCGCAAAATGCAAATTTTTAACATTAACTCGAGTCACTATGCAACAATAAAATTTTCTCGTTGTTGAGAATCTATTGTTGACTCGTGCGATTGTTTAATGCGAGTGCTTTTTCTAGTTTTGCTTCGTTTGCAGCGGTTGTTTAAAGTAATGTAAGTTTACACTATGATCTTTGTAGATTTAAATACTCTTTAACTTTGATCAGCAAAATATCACAGTTGGCGGCGATGGGTTTCAATAAGAATTGATCGGTTTCCTTCGGAGAAATCGCATCTTTCCATTGTTAAAGCAAAATAAAAATTAATAAGTAGCCTACTTTAAAATCTGTTATNTTGTTTAAAGTAATGTAAGTTTACACTATGATCTTTGTAGATTTAAATACTCTTTATCTTTGGTCAGCAAAATATCACAGTTGGCGGCGATGGGTTTCGATAAGAATTGAACGGTTTCCTTCTGAGGAAACGCATCTTTCCATTGTTAAAGCAAAATAAAAATTTATAAATAGCCTACTTTAAAATCTGTTATTTCCCGCTATAGTTTATAAATTACATACTTATATACTGTATATTAATATCCCATATGAAATTCGTCTGAATTAAAATAATTCGAGTTCATTCCTCTATTTTCGCAGTTGTTTTGTGTTACGGCAGTCAACAGAATAGTACAATTTTTATAAACTAATTCCTCTATCGAACATTAAAAATCGTCGAAAAGATTAAAATTATTATATATAATAATATTCTTTTTTAACAGGAATTAATCATTTTTGCATTAGAAATTTACAATTCAGATTAGAATAGGAATATTTCTCAATTAATCCTCTCATTTTCCTTTGCAGAATGGAGAATTTCAGAGAGTTGAAGAAGTTGCGCATCTCGGACAATGCAGAGTCCGAGGATGACGCCTGGTCTTGGCCAGGTGTCATAAGGGTGCTTCCGAAGGATGCGGAGGAGAAGTGTCATACACCGGACGTCAAACGGGTGGTGGTCGTAACTCCGGACGACACCGCCTCGTCTCTCGTCCAATATCTAGAGGGGCGATATCCGGAGGTTCCGGAATGGACGGTGGAGACATCGTCGGGTGAGACCGGAGTGGAGAGAAAGGAGTCCGAAGAGTCCGTCGAGCGTAAAAGGCCTTGGTGGAAAAGGTTGTTTTGCTGCTGGAAGACATAAACCTCTTCTCTGGCCAGGCCTTCTTGCGCAGATTTCGACTTTCCACCGAATGTAACATCGCCACTCGGAAGTGACCTTTCACCCGAATGTGACACTCACCAGGAATTGACCTTTCACCCGAATACGACACTCACCAGGAATTGACCTTTCACCCGGCTACGACTTAATCGACTGGACTTGACTTTCCATCCCAATTTACGGACGGATACTTCGACACCATTCGAGATTCGGTTAAAGAGCATATAGAACAACGACAGTGACATCAAGCAGTGTTCTCGTGTTTAATTAAAGGCTATAACTGGCCAAAACGACTTATATTCTACAGACATTTACACTGTATTTCATCGGGTGTTCTACTGCTAAAAACTTTCACCGCGAAATAACGAATATTCACCACTAAAAGGCATACCAGACGAATTTAAATAAACCCAAAAATACACGTACTCGGTTTGTGTACTCCACAATCATAATTACTTCAACAATTAAATTTGTACATAAATTTTCATGTTTAATAAAACTAATTAAATTTTATATTAAATGTTTACAGATTCGATATTTATTAAAGTTGCGCATTTTTTGATGAATTTATAGTTAAAATTTGAAAAACACTGTGACATTAGTTGCAATTTAAAAGTTTGTGTGTGGAGCAATCTACATGAAACATTATTAAAAATAATTTATATTTCATTAATTATTACAGAAAGATATAAACTGCCTAATTATCAGGTAGACTTTTCAAAATAGCAGACTTTTTAAAATACATTGGTAAATAAAACATTAAAGACAACCAAAACATAAATGTAAACAATTAACTTTATTGAAATAATTGTATATATGGTGTTCGTATGCTTTAAAGGCTAAAGTAATAGGGTTATAGCATAAGGAAAGAAGTGTTGAAAATTATTCTTCCAAAACATAGAAAACTAGATAATTGAAGTTGAGAAAACTTCAAAGGCAACTGAAAAAATAGATGTAAAATCATGCTGATATTCCAACCTTTTTGGTAAATAATGTCACGCAGGTTACGTTCCTTATCTAATTTGCATAACCTTATCAATAACTTTTTAGTACAGTACTTCATTTTATCCAGTGAAAATAATTTCTTCTTCGACCTGATGAGCGATAGTTAAAAACGTGACTCGAAAGCACGGTTGCATAATGCGGTGCCGAATTTCGAACAAGCAAAGCGACGAAAATTTGAAGCGGTGCTTGCCAGGTTTCGAACCTGAGACCTTCCGCGTGTGAAGCGGATGTGATAACCTCTACACCACAAGCACTCGACAGCTCCGACCACAGAACTTTTCTAAGTCCGCTTAAATATTTAAGTGGCATTTGTGCTAATTTCAAGTCCAGTAGTTAATCCGGCACTTTTCTTACAAAATCTTCGTTCTTCTCACGATGGAAACTCGTTAACAACCAGTCCACACGTCCGATGCATTTGTTTTCTCTTCGGCAATGGCGATTCCTCATCTTATCCTTCGATTACGTGTTTTTCAATTATCGAACTGTGTCGTCGTTTTTACAAATAAACAACTGGCATGCGTTTTCTGGCGTGCGAGAGTGGCGAACACCTTTTTTGCTCTGTCCGCCTTCTTCAATGTTTACGACATTTTTCGACATTTCCCTCGGCTGAGGATATCCGATAACGTCGGTAGATCCGAACGCGTAAAATCAATACGACCCAGAATCAGTTGTAGAAGAAGAAATGCCGATCGCTGTTCTATGGTATATGTCTGTGGTGTCCGCTTTACACGCGGAAGGTCTCAGATTCGATCCCTGACAGACACAATATTTTACGACAGCTTCAGAAGTTTTTGTTCGACGGAGGCGATGATAGCAGTTCTGTCTTCGCGTTTGACCATGAACTTTTCCTTTATTGTTTCGTTTCACAGGTAATGACTGAGTCGATGCGGTACCGAACGAAAGCGATGTTTCCCAAATTTAAACGGGTAGTACATTTTGACCAAACAACTCATCTTTACACGTCTGGAAGACGTAACTGTCAAATCCCAGTCGCACTGCACACGAACGCACAAGTACGTCGTCTCCACCCTGAAATGTGCAAACTTTCACGCAGCCAGAACAACTAGAACTTTCATAACAATTTCTGTGAGGTGTGTTTGATCGATTTATTTGATAACATTGAGATGTTTCGGTAAAACGCTGTTCATCATTTCGATAAACGCAAACTGTCACACGTGACACGCGACGTTTTTGTTAGAAATTCTATCATATTTTCATGCTAGAATGAATTTTGCAGCATGCTCCTCTCTACATGCTGAAAATTCATTTTTATGTCGTGTTTTAGAAATTCTCGAATTGCTGGCGTACGAGTTAGTAACACAAGAAAAAAACAGATTGATAAAATCGATCGGTGAATTTCTTACGTTCCACCAAAATCCTAACAAGGGTTTCTCATTTCTCGGCCTTTTGCTTGTCGCGGGATTTCGGTATAAAAGTGAACTGTTTCCCGGGATTCCGGGAAATCCCGGGATAGAATTAATTATTTATACGGTATATAAAATATCTTGAAATCAAATGATATAATTATTTTTCATTTTTAAAGTAACTTAATACGTTTTGCAACCTCCAAAATCAGATTAATAATGCTGTGTAAGACATATATTAAAAATTATTTTTGAATTACGTAGAAATTTTCACAAATAGATAAAAATTATTAAAAGTTTTCTGGAAACTGCATACAACAACAAGAAGAAAGTGCTTTAAATTGAGTTGAAAATTGAAAAAAAAAAAATGAACTTTGATCAAAATTCTGACTTAAAAGGTCATTTTTGTTTTTAAATAATACATAATACAAAGTATTATTGTAAACTTTTATAATAAGGTTTTAAAAAGCAAAGATGGTCAACACTCCGATTATTGAATCTGATTCTTATTTTAGTAATGAAAAGTCCTGCTTCCGAGAATGCCCTTTCCGATTCAATTGATGTGAGTGGAATTGTATTTAATTAATGTATTTAAGAGAAAACAGACGTTATGTGTAAAAACACATAGCATTACCTGTAACCTGGAAGTTTTCGAGTTCGATTTCGAGATTGTAATACTTCTTTTGCTCTCTAGTATTCTTGATTTGTCTACCTCGGCTGCTTTAATAGCGGCATCGAGCTTATAGCCCGATAATTCGGCAATTTGTTTGGCAAAAAAATTTCAACATGGAATAGGTTAATATATTTTTTTCGTACATAATCGGTTATTCGAAAAACAAATTATCCGAACAACCGCAGTCCCCAATTGATTTGGATAAACGACGCTCTACTGTACTTCGATGTAAACGAACGAGTTAACATACTTTAATAACGGTTGAAAACAATTTTCAGTTCGAATTTCGAAA